GAAAATAGATTTCCGTGTCTCTGCATCAAACTATTTCAAAGAACACATAACATAATCAAAGTATTATGTGTTTGTAAATTAGATTAGTCCTATGATGTGATATGGTTTGGTCTCTTAAATTATCCCATAAGTCTGCATTCGTGTAACCCCAAGAATAAGGGTCGAATTGTAGATTTCGAAAAGTGATTCCCAAACACGATCCAAAAGATTATCCAAGCTATTGTTATTCTAAACCCTTAAATGCTAACGACTATGTGGCTTCCAAATTAAGGTTACAACCAAATAGATATGTTTGTATTCTTAATATCTTGGAGTGTTCGTTATTATCCATATAATTCATAATAGTGACGTCAAATATTATTTTAGGTGTAGTTACTCTTCGAATACGACATTTGTTTTCAATCATGCTGTCCAAAATGGTGAGAACCGAGTAGTCACATATCAATATCCTACTTTAACTAAAAATCGACCGTATGGGAAAACCGGCCCGACAGAAATCGGCCTGGTAGTAACCAAATATATAATTTATTCCATGTTATGGTGGCACTGGCTCCGGACGCATCTTATAGAACACAAGCAAGAGGTGGAGATAATCATCATGATACCTTATAGGATAGTCTTACAATAGACGATGGAATTCAAATCCATCGAGGGTTTTTATAATGATAAACTGCACTGTGATTAAGACACTCCCGCGAGAGGGCTGCAAGTAATATCACGGGAGTAAAGGAGGACAATATCGCATGTAAGTTGTAATCTAATCTAATAATATAAGAAATTTTTTAATTTCACTTTAATTAGAGAGGCATAACCTATGATGAAGATAATGACATAAGGAACACTTAAACTTGAACTTTTTGTATTTATTATTGACGTGTTGTATTACAACCTACAAGACCATACATATTCTTGTAGAGAATTGACCACCCTTTTGGTCTTTTATAATTTTGTATTTTGTATAGATGTCTGCTTGTCTTGTTGGATTAGAGGGGATGTGGGGTAGTCATGATTCAGTGGATGCGTGTGCACTGTCCAGGATCAAGATACCAGTTATCCTTCCTACGTATGCTTTTGAATGGTCGACACATCACGTGCTTTACGTACCATAAATCTGATATTCGAACCTTACACATATATTATTAATTTCTCATATTCAAAGAGAGTCATAGTCATAAATCCCATCAAAATATTCTACCCTTGTGTTTATTATACATAAAAAAAGATGACAACACATGGCATTCTCTCAGTCTTAGACTCATAGACTGTGTTTAACATGTGTTTAACATGCATTGGACTAGCACATCACAGGCTACCAGTCTTAGACTGTGTTTGACATGCATTAGAATGACACTAATGTTAATGTTTTGTCCCAAAAATAAAAGATGGAACAGGGACTCTTTCTCGATCTCTCTTCTGCTAATTAAAAAAAAAACTCTTTCCTCTCATTTTGAGCACATTCAAACGACCACATAAAAGATGTTTGGAGGACATTGATCATATAACTGCAAACATGTCGATTAAAAATACATTTCCTCTTCTGCTAATTAGAAAAAAAAAACTCTTTCCTCTCATTTTCAACACATTCAAACGACCACATAAAAGATGTTTGGAGGACATTGATCATATAACTGCAAACATGTCGATTAAAAATACATTTCTGACACACTGAGTCCCCAAAAACAATGACATACATTACATATACCCATACAATATACCTGTATATATGACTATTTGGGACTTTGGGTAATAATACCTTGCTACTTTGTCAACCAGTAAATCAAGATTAGAAAGGTGCAAACGGAAGCAACTAATGAAAGAATAATTGTGTCCAATGATTTTTTCTTCTTTATCGATGACAGAATGCTATTCACCTGTTTTTAAACACAGACAAAATAGTCTGTTGTTAAATCATGATTGAATAAACCCTTTTGCAAATATAAAAAGCTTTTTTTTTTTGTAAAATGAAATTAGTTTATGATAGTTTACTTACAGTTGGGAGACGACTGCTAACATTGCTAAGCTTTGAATTAACACCACCAAATGTTGATCTTTGAAACATGAGAGTACCTAGGGTTTCTTGTGCTTGTGATATTACACCATCCATCTACATCCACATTAAATATAGCATTTCAAATTTCAATATATATAAAAATTAAATTCAGCCAATAGATCCAGTTATATACACACCTGGCCTGTACTTCTCATAAGAGTGGCTCGCTCCTTAAGGAGAGACTGTTCTTGAGAGGCACCACCATCTTCAAGATCTAATCTTGTTCTATCAAACTCCCTGAAATCTTCAAGCAATGATGCATGCTCTCTTTTTGCTCTAAGGCTAGATCGAAGACGATTGAACTCCTGTAATTAAAAAGATATAAGGATCATGAAACCCTTTTATGAAAGGGTAAAATAAGAATGATGTTACCTGACTAAGATCATGATGAATTTCTTGATGACGAGTTAATGTATGAGAAAATATTTCTGATCCTCCAGATGACACCCACGCTTGCATTTGTGAAATTACATGGTTTAGTTGTTTAAGTAGCTGTTCTATTTGTGATCCAAGATCCTTTTCGTTGCCATCATCGACTTTTGTTGAAACTAATTTACGATACAAATGCATTTGATCATCCAACTGTGCTTCGAGATTCCTTGCCTTTTCCATACCCAAAATGAAAGAAACATAAGAACCATCTCACAATGAATGAAACATTTAACATACCCAAACGAAAGTTATCAATCCAAATTTTGAAGTCCAATAAATTTGATCTCAATCTAGAATCTAGATCCGATCATCATTGGTTTATTATTATAAACCCTAACTAATTTAAACACCCCAGAATTCGACAGGAAAACATGTCCTTAATCTCAAATCCGGTACTAATTACTAGTAAAGCTGAGATAAATATATGATACCACAAACACCGAGTTGTGCGAATTGAAATTAAGCAATCAAAAACAGAAAATTGACAGGTAAAAAGGGAAAACATAAAAACCTGCTTTCGCAAGGAGTCCCAAGAGGTTGGTGGATCCATGGGAGAAGAATGAAACCAGTTCCTCCCTGTTGAACGGAATTGATGTTTAGAATTGTGATGGACCGACAGACGATTAAGACGAAACCACTTGAACCATTAAAATAAAAACCCTTGCGTATATACACACTTGAACAAAGGAAGGTAAACCCCTTCTGTAGATACACCTTAATTTTGTGTATTTTATAGTAATATATAAAGAAATAGTCACATTGAAAGGTATTTATATTTTAAAATTAGATTTATAAGACGTATATATTAGTCGTCGATTAAGAAAAATAACAATTTAAAATAATTATAAGATACTTAAAAATGTAAAAAAAAAAAAAATGATATTTTGAAATTTTTAAAAAATAAATATAATATTTGAAAATTATTATGTACAAATATAATATTTTGATGTTTAAAAGGGAACAAAATTTACTTTATTCAAATATGGTGTTAAACTGAAAAAAAATATCCGAAAACTATTTCCAGAAAATAATTAAAAAAATTAATGTCGTATTATATCTAAACTTAATTCAAAATGAAAAAGAAATGAAAATATATCTCAGTATATATTTAGAGAAATAAACAAAGATATGTCAAAATAAATAGTTATAAGTTAGTTACATATAACAATTTAGAAAATAATATTAAATCAAAAATCCGTACAACTAAAATTTACATAAAATTAAAAACCACATTAATAATATTTCAAAAATTCATGGTGGACTAAATTAAAAAATTAATGAAGAAATTAATAGTTTTTATCGATGCACAACCAACATATGGATTATTGAGAAATATTTATCTCAAATCATATTAATATATTTTATTTTGTGATTCTCAACAGTTATAACTATTTTTTTTCAACTTCAAACTTTCTAATAAATATATATTTTATTGTATGGTCTAAGAAAATAACAATGTTATATAATTATTATTATTTTATAGTCGCTAACAACTGCTTTGTTATTTTAACATGTATTTATTAATATTTTAACTATATAATTTATTCAATGTAGAAACATAAACATTCACCCAATCATTATATAAAAGTAAGCAAGAAGGAACATAGGAAATGAAACTTGTTCTAGTTATTTCTGATCGATTGAAACAATTTGGTTAGTCACGTTCTTGATTCTATTATGTTTTTGATTGTTATTAAATTATTTGCTTTTTAATACTAGTTTTAATAAGTTGATTCATTTTTTGTAGAAAAACTTTTGTCAAAAATCGGGTCTTAAAATCTTGATTGGTTCGGTGAATTGGCTTTGCAATGGAAAAGTGAGATTTGCTTTGCAATAACCAAGATCACCAATTTGCCCTAATTTTGTATCTCGAAATGACCGGATTGAACTATAAACACTCATAATATAAAACATCTAAATCTTCAAAAACCGTTGGTGAACCTATCCAAAGTCATATACTAAATAAAAATATTAAACAAATAATTATTTCTTTGAATATGTTCTCACCAGCAAAGTAATTTCATGATTAATAAAATAAAGATTGTGACCAAAGTTTGCGTGATTTACACATCAAAACCTTTTCAATATGTCAGATCTATTCATAAATTAATTTTGAAAATGGTTGAAATCTTATTTTTTTTATAGCCAAGTAAATGACTAATCTTTAACCAACTCAATTTATGTATTCTGGTTCATTAATAGATGTAAGTTTTATGGTTATTTTGTATATTTGTCATATATATTATCATGAAATAGCAGTGGATCTATATGGTGAGCAGAATGCAAGGGCTTTGGTGAAAATAATTCTTGAATTTCACTGTTTGAAATATCTAATTTAACACAAAGATCTTATGATACGACTACAAAAATAATAAATGACCTCTTTCCTTCTCAATATTTTCTGTTCATATATAGCTTAACAGATTAAGTCATTTTCAATTTAAGTCCATTAAGTAAAAGTTAAAACACAGCTTAATTAATGATTGTCCCAAACAAAACAATCCACCACAAGTAAAATGCGATAGTTAATAGTTGTAAGTTTACCACTAGTAGAAACTTGGATATAACAATAAAAGAAGCTGAAAATGTATCATCAGTTCCTCCTTCCTATACTCAAAAGACAACATTAACTAACAAACTAACAACATTGGTGGTGTCTCGCGTGTTGGAACACCTTACACAAACTTTAGCTCCTAATAACTTTGATTAGTAAACTGTATTTCATTTTCATGGCACAAAACATCTAAACCCCAGCAACCACTTTTCTATAAAAACCTTCTCAACAAGTCTCAAAAGCATAAGAAAAAAAAAAGTTAACTTAGTAGTAGTAACATGTTTTACTCCAACACAATGACACCTGGGCTTCGTCCTTCCCCATCTTCCATTGCCACATCAGCAGTGTTTGTGGTCCCGTTGACTTCATGCTGACTCACATCACCATTGCTATTTTCATTTACAAGAATCTTGGAGACTTGTTCATGTATCCCTTCCAGTGGTTCAAGTTTCTTTTTCAGCTTCAAACCTGCACCAGGTTTGTTCCCCACATATGCCTCAACTGATTCAACCGCATTTTCCCCAACTATCTTGCACATCTACATTATCACAAACAACAATTTAGCTAAAATAAATTTAATTTTACACAATTAAATATATATATATATATATATATATATATATATATATATATATATATATAAAACCCAAATTTAGTTACCTCATTATAATGGCGGGCCATTGCCAATCGATCCTTTTTATCATCACAAGCTGCTGCTGTTATTTCTTCTGGAGCTGTAAGAAAAGACAAATTAGATTTTATAAAAAACTGCATATTTTATTATTTTGACTTACAGATGACTTGGATTTGAGGCAATTGACCAATCATCTGAGAACTTGTGTCATTGTGGCTTGCACTTGGTCTGTCCAGAACCTTTTGTTCAGTTTCCATGTCATCATTCCGAATCTCATTGGGTTTTTCATCACCCTATTTTATTTTTAAAAAAAAAAAAACACCAAATGAGCAAAAAACAGCAGAAAGAAAGAATGAAAGAAAAAGAAACATATATAATGACTTACAAAGTATTCTTTCTGGTATTCAGCATTAAGTCCTTTTTCGAGAAGGAGGACACGTTTCTTAACAAACTCAACCAGTCTTCTTTGCATCTCTCTGAAGTGATACAAAGCATTATTTGCAGCAGTAGTGGAATCCTGAACTTGTGCTTGTGGTTGAGAAACTCCAGAAGCTGCTACTGGTGTTTGAGCTTCAACACTTCCAGGTGGGACAAATTGACCTTGAGGTGCCCCTGTCCCTGGGAGACTCATATTTATACCAGGGAGATTCAACTCTTGACAAATCACTTCTTGCACCCTTAAATCCTTGTCATCAACAATAGCTTGCCATCTTCCATAACCATGCCTTTATAGTTTATAGTTCATACACACAAAACAAGAATATGAATATGAATATGAATTTAATACTGAGTCGTATTTATTTATAATGACAAAATAGAACTTTAAATTATTGAGCTCACTTCAAGACAGCACGAAGAAGGGTTCGATCGTGTTCCTCCTTCCAGAATTTTAAACCTCTTAATCCTGGATACCGATAGATGATGTCATCTGTAAAAAGGGGAGCACTTTGATTCTCTGAAGTGTTTTTTACCTGTAGCAGTAATTAACAATCAGCATAGCAAGAAGATTAGAAAAAATCAAACATGTAAAAGATAGTTTTAAAAACGACTTACTTTATCTCTTACAAGAAGCAAGACTGCAATCCTGACAAGTACATCTTCTATTCTTAACCCTTCTTTCGGAACACCATCTGCATTAAAATAAAATTATAAAAAAACATGAACTCTGACCAAAAAAAAAAATCATAGTTTTAAGTTTTAACCACAAAAAGTCACCTGAAAAAGTTGCAGCATCTGTAATGTCTTCAGAAATGTGTGACAAGAAGAGAGTTCCATAACTGCATGACATAATAAACCAAAAAGATTGTCTTTTATAATTCAATCCACCAACAGAAGAAAAGGTTGAATTAAATTTGAAGGTGAAACAGCTCTTACACTTTAATTTCCTCATAACTCTTTTGCTTCAAACGTGAAGTAAATTCTGCCCAATCAAAGTCTCCAACCCCAAATCTGCAGTGTAATTTACACAGTTCATACTAATAACTAATAAAAAAAGTGTAAAAACATAAAGACAAGACTACAATACCTCATCAAGATTTGAACAAATTGGGCCCTTTGACTTTGATTAAATCCCAATACTCTAAAGGCTCTCCCTTCACCTTCCATAAGAGGAAGTAGCTCAGCATTGTCAACTGCAAATATAATTAAGAAAAAGATCCCATTAACAAATATTATCACCGCAAACAAAACAAATTTATGCGACTTGTAAAAGATTAAAAGATAAAAGTGTATTATACCACGTGTTTTCTTCCTGTAGGGCTTTTTCACAGGTGTTGCTCCAGCTGAATTCTCTCCATCAGACAACTCAGCTTCATAATTATCATCAGCATCAGAGCTTACATCTTCCAATCCAGCAAGATCATCATCTTCAACAGACACCATCTGCTTTCGGCTTCTTTTACCTTTTCCCATAGAATTCAACTCTTCAACTTTGTGAACTTCATATCTGTCTTTTAACAACTCCTCCCAATAACTTGATCTTTCTGGATTTGTGGCTGCACTTTTGTCCTCTGCTATGGGTTCTTGTATTTCCTCTTCCTCTTTTGACGCCTCATCAATGTACTCAAAATTTGCCACCTAAATCATATTCATATACACAACAAAAATTTAAAAGTTCAAATCTTTAGTCTAGAGGTGAGTAATATCAATTTATTGTGCAAAAAAAGGAAAACCTTAAATGCTTTCAAAAAGCCATCTTCTTCTGCATCTTCCATTGCAGCATTTTCTTCTTCAGTGTAATCACGGTTAAGCAATCTATCAAAGTGTCAAACGTTAAAAAAAGATATAACAAACCATTTAAGGAATGTTTCTTTTCTATTTAATGATCTTAATGAGTTAAGCACTTAATCCTGCATTTTTTTACCTATCTATTGCAGCATCATCGTAATGGATTTGTCTTGATTTCATAGCTTCATCATTCTCATCAGCAAATAACTCCTTCGATCCATACCTGATGATGTCATCCAGCTCTTCCTACATATTGTAATAAATCATAACCAGATCATATATGATATAACAATTGCTTAATCAATGTAATATATTTTGTCTACATGCATATGAACATCAAATGACTATAAACATGTACCTGATTGATGTTTTGATTTTTAAGCTTGCCAACAACCAAATGCTCCAACACCATCTTCTTCTTGGTCATCTCCATCATCCTTTCTTCAATTGTTCCTCTTGTTATAAGTCTAAATATCATAACCTGAAAATGGCAGTTATCAGAAATTACAGAAATACCCTTATGTTAGTTAACCAGCCAAAACATATAGCCTGATCTCCTGTAACAATTTCTAACCTTATTTTTCTGTCCAAGACGATGAGCTCTGGCCATTGCTTGTAGATCAGCATGAGGATTCCAATCACTGTTACAAAAAAATATATATATCAAGATAGAAACAGGCAACTACAACTACTAATAAATACTGAAAAATTACAACTTTTTACCTGTCATAAATAATAACTGTGTCTGCAGTGGCAAGGTTAATACCCAAACCACCAGCTCTAGTAGACAGCAGAAAGCAAAATCTAGAAGAATTACTGACATTGAACCTATCAATTCTAACTTGTCTTTCTCCACCACTAACTTTTCCATCAATTCGTTCATATAGCCATTTCTACAAAAAAGAAAAAATAAAGTAAAGGTTAAATCAATCCAAATGAAAGGGCAAACTGGCTCAACATTCATACCTTGTAATTGCAATAATCTTCAAGCAAATCCAACATGTGCTGAAATTGTGTATAAATTAAAACTCTATGTCCTTGCTCTTTGAGCTTCACCATCATTTTATCCAAAAGCTGCAGTTTCCCAGAAGATTCCAACAGTTGTCTGACAAATGAAAATGGACATCAATGCACAAGAAAGAAAAAGGAAAACAAATATAATAAGAAACATAGCAAAAGCTAAAATATATTTTACTTGTAGAACTCATTGGTGTCTTCTGGTTCAACTCCCTCCAGCATAAAAGGGTGACAACAAAGCTTGCGCAATTCCATAACCACATTAATGAGAGAAATCTAAATTCAGAAAGAAAAATATTAGATGTTAGTTTTAAGTTCAAGATAAGATGATAGCAGATTAAGGACAAAACAGTCTTTTCACCTGGGCGCCTCCTCGGCGAGTTAATAACTGATAGTTACGAGTTAAAATTGCCTTGTAGTACTCTTTCTGCTTGCTACTTAACTCCACACGTAAAATGAGCTCCTTTTTAGGAGGTAGTTTCTTCATAACATCTTTCTTCAATCCTGACATTTATCACCACAAAGTTATTATAAAGTTCAATTAAGATTTAAGAAACATAACAAGCACAAGTTTTGAATGTTTACTTCTTAGAAGATGGGGGGCCAACATCTTATGGAGCCTTGAAACTTGCTCTTCTTGATTGATATCCTTAAACTCTTCCTGAAACTCTTCCAAACTTGCAAACTGCAAAAAAATTGTAGCAACATAAGAAGATGTTTTAGGGTTATCTACTTCTCCTTATGTAATATCATAATCACACACAGGAAATGATAAGGAGTTGCAATAATACTAACCTTTCCAGCATCAAGGAAGTGCATAAGCATGAAAAGCTCATCCAAGTTGTTCTGAAAACCATTTTCAATTCAGATCAAATACAAAAACTAAAAGATAAAGTAAATTATACAATTAAAAACTAGAACAAACCTGAAGAGGGGTTCCAGTCAATAATGTACGATGTCTGGTATCAAACTGTTTCAGTGCAGAAAACAACTTTGAATCCTTGTTCTTGAGACGATGGCCTTCGTCCACTATCTGCATGATTGAAAAGAATTCATCAAACAAACACGTACAGGATGTCATGATCTAATCATTGTGGTAAAAAGTCAAAAAAAGTTACCATAGTCTCCCAGCTTATTGACTTGAGGGACCCGTTATCTATGTTGATCATTTCATAAGATGTCAATAGGACATCAAATTTAATCCTGGCTTGCTTATTTTCATTTGACCCATGACTTGACTTCTTCTTCTTGTCCTTCTTATGAGACTTTGGGAAATAAAATTCATATTCCCGTATGACAGCACGTGCAGCAGCTGTTCCAACATACATAACCTGCAGTGGGTTTGGGGTTTAGGGTTTTATTTTGTACAACTTATTCAAAAGAAAATATTAGAAACTGAAAGATCTTGTAACTTACAACATTCATATGAGGCGCCCATGTGGCAAATTCACGTTCCCAGTTCCTTAATGTAGAAAGTGGTGCTACTACTAGATGTGGGGAGACATTCTCTTCGTATAGAGAGGCTAAAAAGGCAATACTTTGTATTGTTTTTCCTGAAATTGTATATAACAATGTAAGTTGTAACTAACAAGTAACAAGTCACAAACCTGTAAAAAGACTAAAGGGAAAACATACCAAGACCCATTTCGTCGGCAAGTATGACATGTGTTTGTTTAGACCATGAGAAACGCAAGAAGTTTAATCCTTCAAGTTGATATGGGTGGAGCTCACCTACAATTACACCAAAAAACATTTGGGATCTCTTAGTATCAAAAGTACAAAACTTGCTATAAATAATATTCCCAAATCAAGATTAGATATCGCCTACCCCCAGGAAGAAATTCGGGACTCTTTTCAAACTGTTGAAATTCTTTTGACTTCTTTCTTAAGTCAGCTGCATCATGATTGTTGCTTTTCTGCTTCCTTAGTTTCCGATATCTAGACTGCAGTCTATTGAAATTCTCAATTTGTTGTTGATATGATGAGATATCTGACTCTGATTCCCAATAACATTCATCATAGTTAAGTCCCACCCATTTTACAAGATATTCCTTTTCCTCCTCACCTTCTTGCCTGATTCATCCACCACATATAAGATTTCACTAAAAAGAACCAAAATGTATTTTTGTCTTATATAGCTAATATATGATTTACAAGAAAGTTCACCTGCAAGCAAGAATTCGGTCAACCATTGTATATTCTGGCCTGATAGGGACATATTCATCTTCACTGTTGTTGCCCACATTCATTTGCTTGCGAAAATTGTTTACTTTTGTCCTTAAGCGAGGCAATTCCTTGTAAGCTTTTATAAACTCTTTTTCAGGTACCCTGAAATACAGGTGATTTTGCTAATCAGCAAAACATATACTGTTTGAATGTATAAGTGAATAGATAAATAGATTACCATGTGCAATGGAGATAAGATAGGCCTTTCCACTTCACAAGATATTGTTTAACAAATATCTGCTTGGAACCCAACTTTGAGGCATCACTATCATCAGCAACAGTAGGCCGCATTTCACAGTCCAAAAGTTTTTCTATATCATTTAGAGGGTTAACCTGCAAGTAAAAAAAACTCATTAAAATCAAAATGTAGCATTTGAAGTGTTGAAGAAAAGCAGTTCATATAGTGCTATTTTAGAACTTACACATTTTGGACACCTCCAGCTGGTAGGAAGAGGAGCTTTCAGAGGTGGTATTAAACACTTTGGGTGATATTCGTAGGTGCAAGTTTCACAGACAAGTAGATTCCCGGATTCACCGCATGCATTACATGAATCTTCTTTCTGTACATGTATATGTAACCCAATCACAACAGAACATAATGCAATTGGTATCTAAAAAGATGAAATTAAAGAAAATTACCGCATCATCTCTATTAATCTTCTCAAATTGCTCTGCATTCTTGGATTTACCTAGCAGGATGTCTGACTCATCATCAGAATCATCCAAACTATAGCGGGGTCTTGAGTCTGATCTGACACGAAGTCTCTCAACTAAACTACTCATTCCTGCAACATAGCCAACAAAACTATTACTTTTAATTTACCTTGCAGGATCTTATAAATTAAGTCTAACAATAAAGATCAATTATATTCTTTTAAGTAGCTTAAGCCCTACAAAGAATTCATACATTACACGGGAAATAGAAATTTCACCTACAAGGGCCAAAATACAAGTGGCTAATTATTATGACACGCTATTTCATTACTATTTGAAGAGTAACCAGTAGGGACTAGGGACCCAAAAATGAAAAACCCTTACATTTTTCAAAAAAGGGTTTACTTGAAACAAATTAGGATATTTCAGGCACATATATAATGGCACTACAAATTCAGGCATGCACATATTAGCATAAAAGGTTCCATTACTACCAAGAACCAAAGTTCTAATTTCAGAATAGGAAAAATGATTAGCAAATAGCAATATAAAACCCATGACCAAGATCCCATAAGAGAGTAACAGACCCAACAATACAGTCAAACTATTTGCATCAACCCTTCATTTCATAAAAAGTATGAGACTGCTGATTGTGAAACCCTGGTCAGACTCAAACTTTCTCAATCGGATTAGTATTGCAGCATACAAACTCAAATGTGTGAACCCGTATATGCATTAATTCCGTGCTTCATTCCATTTCTAGATAGAATGAAGCTTCTACAAATAAGCAAGTATAAACAGAATAGCATCATATAAACAACCATGAAGTATCCCCTTCAAGAGAAACTATAAGTAGAGCCAGAAAGGATGTCAATTGACATATATCAACAATCAATTTAAAAGCTTGTGCAGATACAACTATCAGTAACATATTTAGATACACAATTAAAGAATCCCTAAAACACAAAATCGCAAGAGACCAAGAGACCAAAAATTAGATTAATTGAGGTGTATATGCCATTTCTCAAAGGTGTTTATAACAAGTGCTGATATATTAATATCTGATCATACATGAATTCTCGTGATTAAAAGCTAGGGTTTCGAGCAAAAACAACCCCACTTCGACAAAGGTTCAATATATACAGGAATTACGTGCTGCATATAATTACTGAAATGTAGCAAACTCAACGCCATAATAATAGAAAAACCCCTCAAAGCAAATGAGGCTCCAACAGCATCTCAATTTTAATCGGCCAATCATATCTAAGAAAAGGTTCAGCAGAATTCACCTGAAACCGCAGCGATCTTGTAACTTAGTGTCAAACTCCAATCCACGCGACTGAGATTTTGGATTTCGGTACACAGAACCCAAACTCTGATAATAATTTACAATTGCGGGGAATTGGGTATTAGGGTTTCACTAAATCTAAAGTTCATGGGCGTGGAATCAAGAGCAAAACTAAGACAGTGATAGATACTTGCCTGATGATGACCAGTTTCTGTGTTTCAAATCTCCTTGCTCCCACTTAGGATTGGAGGAATTTGAGAAAACCCTGCGCGAAAAAAACCGAGATTTCCCTTGTTGCACTTGCACCTCTGTTTTTTGTTTACCCTTTCTTTTTTGATTCTCTTTTAACTGATTTACTAGGGTTCGTTTTATAGAATTAAAATAAATATGTAAATACGGAGATACAATGTTGTAGTGACGATATATAAATACTATTTTTTTCGTTGATCTATGTTTTAGCTGTAATTTAATAAAAAGATTAATTATTGGACTAATTTGAAAATTATCATGTAAAAAAAATCATATCAATATAATTTGTTTTATTTTAGATTTTACTAAAATTTGTACTTAATAATTTGATAATTAAAAAAATTTATCGTTCAACCCCGTTCAAATATATTTTAACTGTACCAATTTTTATGTATATCTTGAATCATGGTAATTTATATGGTTCAACTTTCAACACGGTCATATAAATAAAAACAACTACAACTTTTAAATGATAAAGATTCAAAATTCGAATTTTCTATATATGAAATACATTCTTAAAATCGTTAACTTATATTAATTCTTGTCTTCAAGATCATTTTTCTTCTTTATGGAAACCTTTTTAATAATAAAACAGTTAAAAATATAAATCACGTCGAACTTGCAAAAGTCATCATTAATGTAGAAAAATAGAGAGATAATTCAAACTAGGGATGAACATTGGTTAGGACCCCAACCGTATCGGACCAATAACTGAAGAACTGGAAACTGATTTAGTAGTAAATGGAGAACCAAGAACTCGATTGAATACTCCGATTCTTGATTCCAGTTCGATTCTATAAATAAGTGTCCTCTAAGATGTGTCCGGTACTTGACTCGGCCCAAATCGGATCGAAAACCGAAGAACCGAGAATCGATTTAGTGGGAAATGAATAATTGAGAACCGGACGAATACCTTGATTCTGATTTCGGTTACCTATTTTTTAAAGATGACTCTCAAAAACATTTTTTACGTGTCTATATTAAAGAAGAATATTAGGAAAGTAATTATGATAACATTTAAGTAGGTTAACGATAGATTGATAGTTAGTTAGTAATATGATATTCTAAAAAAAAGTTAGTTAGTGGTCTTCATTATTGACGTTAGTTACATGTAGGTTTAGCCTTTTGTGGTGCATGTTTGGATCTTTTTTGAATCGGCAAATCTAATTTAATCATAAACTAACATCTAATTCCACCAATGTCTATGACGAGACTAGAACCCTTGATCTTAAAGAGGGATGACGACATTTGACACCCCTGAGCTAAAAACCCTTTGGTCCATAATTACAACAAAACTAGAAGATCATCATTCTTTTTTCATTTATGTCGTATCAATCATTCTCTTACGATACAAACTTAGAAACTTTGTAATGATTTATCCAGGTGATTACGGATTTACTTAAGAGATCAAACGGTGTCAAGTGAGTTCATGTGATTTACAAATGGGATACATGCCTATGTATGTTGTGTCAGATTTTATATGTTTTACTTTATGCCAATTTGCTATGCATGTTTTGCAAGAGGCAAGTTATGTGTTATGTTAGTATGGTTTATAATAATGTTTTCAATGCTTATGGATTATGAGGCTGTGATGTTGTGCATAATTTAATTGTTAGGTTGTGATCCAACATTACCGAACGAGTTAATAATTGATCAAAAGTTTAGGATATCGTAGGGTTGCTATCCAACATTTAGATGAGGGTTAGTCATTAGATTGTGACCCGACATTATCAGGCATACCAATAATCCCACAATTTAGCTGACGGGTTGTACAGTGGCGGACCTTAGTGGAGCCCGAGGGGTCCTGGACCACTGCTCCGATTCCGGCACGTAGTGTAAAAAAAATTATGTTTTTTTTTTGTATTTTCAATTAGGTGCATCGGCTTAAAATACGAGTGTCACTACTAATTTAGATTTTTTCGGAAACTTTTTTTTAGTGTCACCCCTACTAAAACGTTCTGCGTCCGTCACTTGGGTTGTAATCTAAAATAATGTTCGGTTACATATTAGATCATGATCTACATAGTGTCCAATTGTGAGATCTCAACAAGTGTTTTCGCTATGTTTAATTTTGTATGATTTCAATTATGTATTAGATCATGATCCACAAAGCATTAACAATTAACGAGGGGTTATGCATGCAACCAATATGGTTCATTTTACGGTATGCGTGCAACCAATATGGTTCATTTTACAGTTTTTTCGTCTATTACAAGTAAGAAAACCAAAATAACATGATTTATAAGAATGTAGGTGTGACACTATTCCTTTCATCTTGGATAAAGGAATTAGAAAACTCCAAAAATCAGTTGCATGCAACCAATATGGTTCATTTTATGGTATGCGTGCAACCAATATGGTTCATTTTACAGTTTTTTCGTCTATTACAAGTAAGAAAACCAAAATGACATGATTTATAAGAATGTAGGTGTGACACTATTCCTTTCATCTTGGATAAAGGAATTAGAAAACTCCAAAAATCAGTTGAGTTACACAAATATAATATATAACAGTAAATTTATTTTATAATTGCAGGTCAATTAACAATTTAATCAAAAGATAAAAAATTTACTAAAAGCGTAAAACTAACTCAAAACAATGATATCAAGTTATTAACTATGAATACTCTCACTATCAAGTGATTATTTAATGAAGCATATCTTCACTGTGAATTATTTAGATAGTTTGATTCCTTGACCCTGCAACAAGCATGTTCACATTCGCGTTATTTGTTCTTTCACGTTGTGTCCACTTCTTGAAACTTTTAACATTATCTGGTCTCATGAAAATATAATATTAAAAATAAAACTCACAAAAAATAGGAAAAGAAAAAAAAAAAGTAAACTTAGAGCTATACATCATTTTACATTTGCTGTGCCACAAATATTATATTATCTATTATTCTAACATTTAGCATTCTATTTTTTTCTTATATTAGTTGAGTTTTTAATTTTTAATAAACCCTTTTCTACGATATCGTAAAACGCGTTTTTAATACAATATAAAAATAAAATTATTTATGAATATAAGTTAAAAGACATGTATTTCACAGGAAATATTAATAATGTAGGAAGCGACGTCATTCTATAGGTCGTCATATTACGTAGATGTGTATGTATTTCTTCCTATAAGTAGCCCTCTTAATCTGGAATCACATTCAACAAATTCAACATCAATTCCTCCAATGTCTCGACCACAATCTCGCTCAGGGGTCATGGAGATTGGGCGTTCTGCGGCAGAAGACGGGCAAAACCGTGGTGGTTCCGATTATACCAACGACAAACCACGGTCGTTTCAACACGTGGCTCCAAGACCTCCGTCTTTGATCCAAAATCTCGAAACACAAGATCTTGCTGCTAATCCTCCCTCCCTAAACGATGTGAATCCTCATCAATCGAGTTCAGGTACTGAACATTTGAAAGTTCGGGATGGATCCATGACTAAGCCGTTGCCGTCAGCCGGAGCACGCTCATGGTAACAAAAACTAATTGTTGGTAACTTCTCGATGTGAAGTTCATTGCTGAAATCTTAATTAAAGGAGTTGTTTGTGTTTATTTGAAGTATTTTCCCCAATATGTTGTGGGTTTTTTTTTGTTGTAATCTTAAACCCTGATTCCCCTTCTCCCAATCTCGTCGAGCATATAGAGAGAGAGGCCAGGAGCAAATTCAATTAGTAATTAGTAAGGAAGAACCAAGCGAGTTAAGTTCAAGAGTCAAATAGTTGTAATTCCTGTATCACCTGTCTTGAAGAATTTAGTATATACATATTACTGTTTTAAATTCAAGTCAAACCTTGAGTTTTATCATTCTTATCTAAACATGTTTTGCATATGATGCTTTGGAAGTCAACGGATCATGTTTTCAGCATAAGAAAAAGTCAAAATGATTGTTTAACATATGAGTTTTTTTTTGACAAAAAATTGTGGTTCATCAAATTGTCTAGCTACATACTTTGTGAAGGTGATCTTGCCCCCAAAATCTTGCTTCTTCTTATTCTTCTTCTTCGGAGATTACCTCAAACTAGTCACTACGACTATTCCAAACCATTTCCAACCCAGTCCATACATTTCTTTTAAAAAAGAGAAAAAAAAAGGTAGCATACATGCAATCCCCTAGGATCCTGATTCATCAATATCCTCACACAACATGGATCACACCAGGTGTAACACAAGATTGGTTTCTTGGTTTTTATTTATATAAAACCAAAAATCTTAAAATAAGTTTAATTTTAAAATAATCAATAAATAAATTGCACCAAATTCATATTTTTTTCCTCTACAAATAGACATCAATGTTGTTATATTTTAACTTTTACCCAAAGAGTGGGTTGTTGGGTTACTAATGGGTGTAAAAGGTTTGGAATAGTTGAGTTATGTATGTAGAATAGAAAGAAACTATTTTTTTTTAATAAAAAGTTAGGGTTGGATATTTGGATTAGATTGGGTTGGCGATGGAAGTAGTCTAGCAATTGGTGCTTTCATTCCTAACTCATAATGACTCCACATCATGAAACACCATAATTCGAAGATAATATGGTCCTTATGCACAAAAAATTCAACCAACTTCACTCAGCCACAACCAACTCAAAAAACGCCAGAAACCACTAATCATATTCGTCCTAACTTAAACCGAAATCACAACCAATATTGTAAATGACATCGTTAAAATGAACACTCCGGTCCACCTCCTAAACTTGAATAGTCTAACTCCCACGATCCTCCACCGCTAAACACCACACGCCTAATTCCCCCCAAATTTGATGGTTCCAATCCACTAGATTGGATATTTAAAGGCGATAATTACGTTACTCACTATGCCATCACAGCCACCTAATGTTATTTATTGGTTGTTTTTTTTATGTCATCGTGTACCGCCTTAAATTGGTGCAAACACTCGACCAACAAAAACCTCCTTAACACATTGCTAGACGCCACACAAATTATAGAACTACACCTACTTACGAAAACCACTAGGAAGTAGGAAATCTTGCTTAATATTAGCCAAACCACCAGTGGCGAATCTAGGACTTGAACTCACGGGTGTCCAATTTGAATAAGATGATAATATAATTCGATTGATTTTTATTGTTTTTGTTATCGGTTCGGATCCACAATATTATCTCTGAATGTGTAACACTCCTTTTTCATAACATGTATATTAGTAGTTATAAAACAAGTAAGAGAAATAAAGTGTGGAGTTTGAATTAAACTTGGTATTGGTTTTTATCAAAATACAGTTGAAGAAAGTTGTAGTTTATACAAAGACGATTATTTGGATGTAAAGATCGTCAAAAGCTGAGTTTGTATGAGAAAGTTATAGTCGTTTGAAAAGTACATTGCTATTATGAGAAACTCAACAAAAGTCAAAGTCAAACGGTCAAATGTGACTCGCCACAACGTGGTCTAGTACTCTCCACGGTGCGGGATGAAGTGAGTCATGAAGACACGTGTGTAACATCCCAAAATTTAGAAGTATGATTGAAGGACTTAAGTGTAAATTGAAGAAGGTACTCGACGAGTAGGTATGCTTACTCGTCGAGTCGGAGCGGGTTCTGGTCGCGAGTTAAGTGACCAACTCGCCGAGTCGGTAGCTGGACTCGACGAGTTGGTGCTAAAAAAGGAAAACCCTAATCTTAAGGGTTGCACCCTATTTAAAGGACCATATGTCCTCCCTTCAGCCTCCTTATTGTCCTTGAGAGTCAGTAAACCCTAAAATCGTGTGAGCTTCCATTGTTAAAGAGATTTGAGCTTTGGAGGAGGAATATTGAGAAGGGAGCTTGAAGATCAAGAGGCTAGCATCAAGGGATTGGTGTAGATCCAGAATCTACTTCAGCTTGGGCACATTTTGGATGTGTTGGAGTTTGGGGCAGTACTTCGGGATTGTGCTTTCGTGGTTCGGTTCGGCAGTTGCAAGGTGAGTTATCCTAACTATACCCAAGGGTCTAAGGCACCAAGGCCGTCCCTTTGATTTGTTATTTGAGATAGTTACTGCTATGATATGTTAGTTGGCATCCTGGTAGATAGGATGGCTTTATGATGGTATGCTCTGTTAGATCGGTATTCTGGTAGATTGGATGTGGCTATGCTTAGTGACCTGTAGTTGGTCTGACTGTCTGTATGCTGGTAGGAGATTACAT